AATCCACCTCGAGGCTTACGCCTCGCCTCATAAAGAAAAATCGTCTCAGTACTTAGTTTCGCTTTTTTAAACCTTGTTTTGAGTTTCTTCTCCAGACAAACCTGCACCTGTAGTATAATCATCCATCCAGTATGGTGTTCTTCGATTTCTGGCAACATATTGATTAGGCTCATTGTTTTCAGCTGAGCCTGCACCTGTAGTATAATCATCCATCCAGTATGGTGTTCTTCGATTTCTGGCAACATATTGATTAGGCTCATTGTTTTCAGCTGAGCTCATTGAAGACAGACTTGATGAAGAAGGACTGATTACTCCAGTTGCCTCATTCTGCTCTTGCTCTTCAATCTCATCTTTATTTTCTCCAAATTCTTCTTAAGTCTCATCGTTCTCATCATCTCCCCACTCTAGCAACACATTGGTGACACCTTCTGTCCAGCCAAAATTTCATTTTCTTCAACGATTACATCACGACTAGTCACTACTTTCTTTGTGACTAGATTATACATTCTGTAGCCTTTTGTTTCTTCACTTACTCCCAGCAATACACATTTTGAGCTCCTTGAATCCAGCTTTGTTCTTTTCACATTCGGAATATGTACATGGCTAATGCAACCAAACACTTGGAAGTATTCCATTGAGGGTTTAATACCATTCCATGCTCCTATTTAGTACATGTACACACCAATTTAACGCATCCGGCCAAAACTCTCTAGGAATGTGTTTTTTCGACAACATGCTTCTAATTGGATTCATGATCTTTCGATTCTTCCTCTCAGCAACTCTGTTTTGCTGAGGAGTGTATTCTGTAATTAATTTTCTCTTGATCCCATTCAAACTACAATACTCATTGAACTCTTTAGAAGTGAATTCACCACCTCTATCAGTTCGTAAACAACCCACTAAAGAACTAACCTCTTTTTCAACTAAACTTTTGAACCTTTTGAATATATCTAGCTTCCGACTTTTTTGAAATGAAATATACCCAACACTTTCTACTAAAGTCATCAATGAAAGTGATTAGGTACCTTTGTTGGATTCTGGGTTCACAGGTCCACAAATGTCCGACTGTACAAGTTACAACTTGCATGAGGTTCTCCAGTGGCTTTTCTTCGGAATGATGTCCCTGTTTTGTTTCCCGGCTAAGCAATTAGTACACATCTTTGTAGGAGCTTTAAGTGATGGCAGCCCTTCAACTATCTTCTTGTAATACAAAGTCTTTAAGCCCTTGAAACTAAGGTGAGCAAACCTACTGTGTCATAGTTGTGTTTTACCCTCTTCACTAGTTTAAAAGCAAGCTACTGATTCCTTTAGAGGCATTGCTTCAAGCATAACGAACATTCTGTTATCAGTCATGGCTATCTCCAAAATGAGGCCTCTAGTC